TGCTTTTTTTTTTTCTCCCCCTTGCAAAGCCTTTGCGAGGGCCACTCCAGCATCCCCCCCGGCCCTGGCCCGGCGGCAGCAGGCATGGGATACGGGTCAGCTGGATGACTGACCGAAGGGGACGCAGGTGTCTGCTCCTTTGTGACTGTCCTCACCCTCCAGCCGTGTGGCTCCCGCTGCCCGGGCCTTTGCCATCCATCTCCAGGCGGAGACGAGGCACAGCTCGAGATCAGGGTGACATTCCATCCTCTGTGTCCTCGACGGTCACTCGGTGAAGCATTTTGGGACCGTGTTAGAGCAGCAGGTGCTGGGGGCACCGGCAAGCCAGAGCAAGACCAGACGGGGTCCAAGGAATGGTTTAAAAGTTGAGGAAAGGTCCTCCCAAGAAAAGATTTAAGGGCAACGTGACGTATTCGAAGGGCTGCAAGGTGAAGAGTCCTATGTAATGGGCAGAGGGCAGAACGGGGAGCCGCGGGCGGAAGAAGTGAGGGGGTGGGTGCTGGTTTGGCATAAGGGGGACCTTTCTGTTAGCACTGTCCAGCTCTGGGATGGCTCATCTTCTGAGGCAGTGAGCCCCCTGTCCCAGGGAGAGTCGCCCCTGGGTGTGGTGGAGGGGATACACCATGGAGAAGAAGGTTGGGACAGGTGGCTCGCTGGACCTTTCTGCCTCTGAGCCTCTAGGAATCCCCTAAGCCGAAGGGTGCGTGCCGCACCGTGCCAGCGTCCCGAGGTGGCCTAGAATTTTGATCTGGTGCTTCTGGAAAAGGGGAAAGAGCCACTTTGGAGGGGGGGGGGGAGGAAGGAGAGCAGTGTGCACGTGGCATCCCCAGAACCGGCCAGCAGGGAGAGGAAGGGCTTCCCTCCCAGGCCCTGAGAGTGACTTTGCTGCTTGCTCGCTGATCTGTGGGGCATCCCTCTCCCCTATAGCAGGTCTGCCCCACGAGGGCAGGGGCTTGTGTCATTCACCATGGCATCCCCGGTGCCCAGGACAGTGTCCAGCGTCTGGTTGGTGCTCAACAGACCTGAGTTCAAAGCCCAGTTCTGGAAGCCACCTCCCTGGGAGAATCCCCGCCCACGTTGCTCTCGGTTCCTTGACCTCTGAGTTTGCCTTGTTTCCTCAGTGTGGGTGGTGACAGGAGGGGGACAGTCATCCCTGCCGGCCAGGGGGTTGCTCTTCTGTTATTCTTAGTAGGTCTTTGTTGCCGGGCCCCGCCTCCCCCATTCCCACCGTCCCCTGGGCAAGGGAAGCTTTAAAAAGTTTCCAGGTCCCGCCCACCGACTCTTGGAGAAGGTCACCCTGGCTAGTGGAGCCGTAATGTGGGCGAAGGTGAAGGCTGAGTCACGACCACAAAAACTGAGGGGCGTGTCATGGGGAGACGATACCCCAGTTCCGGCCAGGAGGATGCTGTGTCTCACGCCCCAAGGCAAGGAAGCCCAAACAGAAAGGCTTTGAGAAAGAAAGGAAACAGGACTGTGAATGGAAAATTTCAACCGACCGCCACCCAGGGATCCCCTTGGCCTGGGGTTGTCTTTGGAGCATCAGTTGTCTTTGGAGCATCAGTTCCCCACCGGGGCCCCGGGGCACCGGGGCACCGGGGCACCGGGGCCCCCTGTCACTTGGCCTAGAGTGGCTTCCCCACTTGTAAATACAGGTGAGCCTCCAGGCATCCCCCCACCCCCCAGCCATCCTTGCTCCGCAGTGTTTAGTCCCAGGGCCGCAGCAAACGCTGTGCCCACTGTGCCCACAACCTGGCGTCTTCTTTTGCTCCCACCTCGACCCGCTGAAATCCTGCCCCTTCCTGACGCCCAATTAAAACACCATGTCCTTAGGGCATCCTACTCTTGCTTTCGGCTCAGGTCGATCTCATCTCATACACAGTTCTGGGTTCGAGCCCCGCGTCGGGCTCTGTGCTGACAGCTCGGAGCCTGGAGCCTGCTTCGGATTTCTGTGTCTCCCTCTCTCTCCGCTCTTCCCCTGCTCATGCTCTGTCTCTGTCTGTCTCTCTCTCCAAAATAAATAAAACATTACAAATTAAAAAAAATAAAATAAAAGAACAAGCTAACTTAAAAAGAGACAACATGTCCTTGAGGCTTCAAACCATCTTCTGATGCAGCATCTGCCCCCCTCCTCTGCCTGCAGGTGACATTTCAGGCCTCGGTGACCACGGCCTGGTGGTCAGCTGGGGTTGCACACTTCCCTCATCACAGGCTCAACCTCTCCCACAATGGCTCATCTTCTCTTTCTCCCCAGCTCGAATGTGCTCCGGTGGCCTCGCCCATTTTCATGTAACTCTACACGTACTTACCCACATGTCTCGTTGTCTCGTAGGTGCTTTTTCTGACCCTCCGTCTCCAGGGTCCAAAATGACTGCCCACTGAAAAAATATATTAGCGCCCCTTGGTATTGAGCCAGACGAGCTGACAACTCGGGTCCACGCAAAATCCTGCCCCTGGACGCCCATAGGACCTTTACTCCCCATCGCCCAAACTTGGAAGCTACCAAGGTGTCCTTCAGGGGCCGAATGGATACACTGTGTTGCACGGAACGGAATTTTATCAGAGATAACAAGACGCGAGCTGCCGAGTCACAAAAAAGGCGTAGAGGCAACGTAAGCGCATAAAAAAATCCATTCATTGAGGCGCTTGGGTGGCTCAGTCTGTTGAGCGTGTCTGACTCTTGATTTCCGCTCAGGTCATGATTTCACGGTTCATGAGATCATGAGGGCAAGCCCCACATCTGGCTCTGCACTGACAGCTCAGAGCCTGCTTGGGATTCTCTCTCTCCCTTCCTTCCTTCCTTCCTTCCTTCCTTCCTTCCTTCCTCTCTTTCTTTCTTTCTTTCTCTCTCTCTCTGCCTTTCCCCTGCTCTCTCTCCGTTTCTCTCTCAAAAGTAAACAAATCAACTTTAAAAACGTCTATTCATTGAGGCACCTGGGTGGCTCAGTCGGTTGAGCATAGGACTCCTGATTTTGGCTCAGGTCAGCATCTCCCGGCTCACGGGTTCAAGCCCCACGCTGGGTGTTAGGCTTTGCGCTGATAGTGCCAAACCTGCTGGGGATTCTCTCTGCCCCTCCCCTGCTCTCTCTTAAAATAAATAAACTTAAAAAAAAAAAGTCTATTCATTAAGAAAAAAGAGGAGCAGCTGGGTGGCTCAGTCAGTTAAGCGTCGACTTCGGCTGAGGTCATGATCTCACAGTTCAGGCGTTCGAGTCCCATGTCGGGCTCTGTGCTGACAGCTCGGAGCCTGGAGCCTGCTTCCGATTCTGTGTCTCCCTCGCTCTCTGCCCCTCCCCCATTCATGCCCTGTCTCTGTCTCTGTCTCTGTCTCTGTCTCTCTCGCTCTCTCTCTTGCTCCAGGGCCGTTGGCTGAATTTCCTACCATGCCCAGTGGGTGCAGTGAGAGGTTTCCACATCTGCACTGAGAGGGTTTGGGCAGCAAACAGTTCCTGAGCCCAGGTTAGGGGGCTGCGGGCTGCGGGGCACTGAGAGGCCTGGGTTGGGCCTAATGTGGGCAGGGCTCTCACACTCCCAAAGGCTGGGCAGAAATGGCGGGTCCAGGTCCCAGCATCACCCCCTCCCTTCCTTCAGCTAGGTTTGTCACTTCTCTGAACCTCGCTCTTCTCATCTGTAAATGGGGAGCACAATTCCTGCCCCACAGTTGGGAGGGTTAGATCCATGCATGTCTGGGCTGCTCCCTCCCATTAGGCATGGGCATGACCCCTGCCCTCAGGGCCCTTCTATCTGGTTGCGAAGGGAAGGCCCACGGACTTTTAAAAAAAAATGTCACACCCACAGTGTGACAAATGAGGATATAGCAGGAGAGTTGCTGGAGACGACTTCTGGGTTCTCAGTGGTTTCCAAAGGGGGACAGGGCCATGTGAGAGGTCTTCTGGAAGCGTCCAGAGGAGGGCCTCCGAGGAAACGTGTGCTTGTCTGAGAAGGGACGTTAGCCATCAGCCGGTGAGGAATAGCCAACAAGAGCCAAAACAAGGAAGTGGGAGAGAGTACCACAGAACGAGTGTCCAGAGCAGCCTCCGACGTCTGACAGGCTCCGAGGCCAGTGCTCAGGGAGGCCCCCAGACCAGGAACACTGGCCAGTGACACGACCCCTGCTCTTCCTGAGCCGTCTGTGCTGGGAGACCCAGCAGGGTCTGGGGATGTGAAGGGCGTGGTTTGGGAGCCAGACAAGAGCTGCATGACCTTGGACAAGTCACTTTACCCCTCGAACCTCAACTTCCCCAAATGCAAAGTGGGGGTGGTTGTGAGTTGCAACATATACAGCACCGCCACGGGGCCTGTCACCACGGAAGGGGGTCATTTGGGTGGCAGCCATGATTATTATTGGGGGCTGGGAGAAGCCAGGGCCGGTTGAACCCCTTGGACCCTCCCCGGGTGCCCAGCCTGAGATGCATCCCTGCAGGTGCCCGGTGAAGGCTGGCGGACCCACGACTGCACGAATGGGGGAGCGGTGGCTCTGTCCCCAGGCCCGGCCCCGGGGAGGGCCTGTCTCTGGGTGCCCTGTGGACCCAGAGCAGGAAGGCCGTGACCCATAATTAACCAAGGCCCGGCTGGGCGGGCGGCCAGGCTCTCCCTGGTGCCCACGTGATATTTCCGTCAGCCTCCATGAGCACACGTGCCGCAATCTGAAACCCAGCCACAGGCTGGAACCAGTTGCACAGAGAACCGAGTTGTCACAACAGGAAGGGCGTGTTTGGAGGCTGCCAGAGGGACAGTGGAGGGGGCCTGGGCCCTGTTCTCCCACACCCCAGGCCACCCAAGAGCTGCGAGGCCGCAGGTGCCTAGAACACGGCTACCGGCAGCGTGTCCTTGGCAGGGTGCTGGATTCAGCCCTGGCCAGCCATCCCTGACCTCGGCCTTCCATTGTGAGGATTGTTCGCGCTTTAGGAATCCGCGTGCCCTGCACCTCAGGCCAACAGCTCCACTCCCGCTGCCCTCACGACCTGCCCCTGCAACATGTCCTCCCGAGGCCTGCTTACCTTCTTGGAGGATCTGCTCAAATTCTGCCCTTCGCAGGAGCCTCCAGGGCCCCCAGGGCCCTTGCTTGTCCCCCAGGGAGCCTTGTCCACAGCCCCCCACCCGGCAGGAGGCGCTCAGATGTAGATAACGTGTGTTCTTCATTCATGCCTTCCTTGGTCCCCGGTATTATGTGTCTGCTGTGTTAGAGGGAGAGGTGGAGTCAGCGTGGGTAAAGAGCGTTGGAGAAGGAGCCAGGAGCCCCAAGTTTGGGAAGGATCCGTGGCCCTGGGCCTTCCCTGGGCCTCTGCTTCCTCACCTTACAAGGAGTGTAGGACTCACCTGGCTGCCCTGTGGGGTCTTGGGGCTTTGATGTTCTATGGTCCCAGATGCTGTCCCCAGTCTCCGCCCCCTGCCCCAGCCAATCTCTCCCACCTGCCCCACTGCTCAGCCCAGTACTGCTAATGTGAAACCGTCGCCCCCTCTGCCTGTTAACCTGCTGATCGCTTATCCTGATCTAGTGTGTGTCATTCACGCACCTGGAGAAGAAAAGGAATATTCTGAGCCTCTGCCACAAGGCGTTCACATTCGAAACCACTTGACCTTACCCTGGCAGCCTCTGGCTTGCATGTA